CCAACTGGCATGAAGGTAAAGACACCTTGAGACAAGGCTTGTATCAGCTACAATCAATCTGTAGTTGATACCTCCTTGACCTTTTCTGCACGGGGCTTGTGAGTGTGGCAGCATTTTTGGGGCTGGGCAAGGAGCTTGCAGCACATACAGGGTCATGCTGGGGATCCAGTTAACCTGCTGGGCATGAGCTTGGGAGAGAAACCCCTTGGACAGCTTCACTTGCTTGGCCCCTGGTTGCAGTGAAGTCTCTGAACTGCTCAGGTGGGTGTTGATGTTGGGAGGAGAGTACATGAAACAGCAGCACTAGAAAAATGTGCTTCTGGCTGCTATAAAGCACTAAAGCTGCATGCACCCTACTGTTTTTTAAGCAAGGGGATAGTTTCTGTGAGTATCTCACCCTCAGTTCATTGTTCCAAAATTAAAGAAACACTTTTGGGAATAAATTGTGAGCTGAAGGAGGGGAAATGTCCCATGAATATTCCCTACATTTGTGTACCTGTGGGTTGGAGTGACAGATGGCAGCTACAGCTGCCTGCAGCTTACGCTGAGCACGAGACTTCCTGCAAATGCCTCTCCAGGCTTTGTTGGCTTTATCTGTAAAAAAACAACCCCCAAACCATCTGAGGCTGTCCTCAGTCTGAACTCACCACATCTAGGGGAGCCCATCTTGCCCTTTGTGCTGCTTCTCTTATTGGTGAATGGTCCTTTGGGTCTCTCTTGCCTCTCCCCCCCAGCCTCCCCTTGGCCAGTGAATCACTTGTCTCTTGTGTCCTTGTTCCCCTCAGATCATGGAGATGGCAGCTAAAGGGATAAAGCCAGTCACCCTGGAGCTGGGGGGCAAATCCCCCCTTATCATCTTCTCAGATGCTGACCTGGAGAATGCTGTGAAGGGAGCCCTCATGGCCAACTTCCTGACTCAGGGCGAGGTGTGTGGGAGTGGGGCCAGCCTGTGACCTCCTGTAAGTGAGGGATGCCCTGGGGATCCCATCCTGCCACACCTTTCCCTGGGCACTGTCAGAAGGGATGCCCTGGAAGGAGCCTGAGCAGTGTCCCAGCACAGTGTGCCTTAGCCAACAGGACACACTTAGCCAGTGTCCTGTCCTTCCCTGGCACCAAGCAGCCAGCTCAGCACAGCTGCTCCTGTGCCCTGGGTACCAGTCTGGCACTCACAGCTCAGGAGAAGCTGTGCTGGTGTCCCCTGGAGGGGCAGCAGGTTCCAGCCTGGTGTGCTGAGCCTGAGGACAGGCTTCTGTCCTTCCCAAATTCGGGATCTCCACCCGTGCTGCAGGTTTTGTGTAATCCTGTTGGCAAATTTGCTCAGCAGGGTCATTTCTAGGAATTCAGGAGTCAGCTCAAGGTCTCTGCTGCTGGTGACCTGATACGTTTTTGCCACCTGGTGGCATCAGAACCACGGTGTCCAGCAAGGGCTGTTCAGTGCAGTCACAGCCCCAGGGTATCTCCTTGTGTTCCTTGTCCCCAGGGACAAATTAGCAGTTGCAGCAGCTATGGAGGGGCTTTTCCAAGAGCAGGACCCAAGCAGGGAAGGACTGTGGAGTGCTGTGTTTCTATTCTGAGCTGCCTGTCCTGTGTCCTAGGTGTGCTGCAATGGCACCAGGGTGTTTGTGGAGAGGAAGATCCTGGATACCTTCACAAAGGAGGTGGTGAAACGCACCCAGAAGATCAAAATTGGAGACCCTCTTCTGGAGGACACGCGGATGGGAGCCCTCATCAACCGGCCCCACCTGAATCGTGTGCAGGGCTTTATCAAGCAGGCCAAGGAGCAGGTGAGATTGTGATGCTGCCTTGTGCCTGCCCTGAAATGTCTCTCCTGTTGGACAAACACACTGCCAGCTGCCCTCCTGCCCTGTGCCCTCCCAGTTAAGCTGGTTTTTTTGGTTGTTTTTGGTTTACTCAGTGGGTGTGTTGGACCACTAGACACAGAAGTCTGTGGGATCTGATGGGATGCATCCCTGGGTCCTCAGAGAATTGGCTGATGTAGTTGCTGTGCTGTTTTCCATGATACTTGAGAAGTCATGGCAGTCAGGTGAAGTCCCAAGTGACTGGAAAAGGAAAAACACCCATTTTCTAAAAGGGTGGTGGACAAAGAGCCTGGTGGACAAAGAGCCTGTAATTCTACAGACCCATCAGCCTCACTGCTGTGACTGTGCAAAGATCCTGGAACAGATCCTCCTGGAAGTTGTGTTAAGGCACGTGGAGGACAGGGAGGTGATTTGAGCCCAGAACAGGGAGCTGCACCTGGGTCAGAGCAACCCCTGCTACCAATCCAGGCTGGGGGATGAGCAGATGGAGCAGCCCTGCACGGAAGGACTTGGGAGTGCTGGTGGATGAGAGGCTGGACATGCCCCAGCCATGTGTGCTGGCACCAAGAAACCCCCAGTGCCCTGGGCTGCATCCAAAGCAGTGTGGGCAGCAGGTGAGGGGGAGTTCTGCCCCTCTGACCTGCTCTGCTGAGACACCACATAAGGCTCTGGAATCCTCAGCACAGAAAAAACACAAGAGGAAAGGCTGAGAGTTGGGGTGGTTTAGCTTGGAGGGGAGAAGGCTCTGGGGACAGCTGATTGCAGGATTTCAGTACATAACAGGGACTTAAAAAAAGATGGGGACAAATGTTTGAGCAGAGCCTGCTGGGATAGGCCAAGGGGCAGCCAGAGCTGGGCAGGATGCTCCTGGATGTGCCTGCATCCCTTCCCCTCTTGGCTCTTTTGCAGGGGGCAGAGGTGCTGTGTGGTGGGGACCTGTATGTGCCAGACGACCCGAAGCTGAAGAATGGCTACTACATGCGGCCCTGTGTGTTAGGTAGGCTCCAAGTCAGCCATGGCACTGTGGATGCTGTGGGATTTCTCCTGAGAAATGAGTTCAGCTTTGTTACCTGGCTCTGTGATGGGCCCAGCATGGATGGACACTTGCATGGGGGTCCTAGAGAGAGCTGAGGCTTCCAAGAACTGCATCCAGGGAAATCTGTGCTGTTGGTGCTTTTGAGGTGCAGGGTGTGTGCCTGGCTGCTGTGCCATGCTGGGGGCTGTCTCCAAGGCTGTGTGGGTTGCTGAGTGCACAGGCTGTGCTGCTGCTCTTCCTCCTGAAGCACTTGTGCTCTGCCACGCTTCCAGGGAACTGCAAGGATGACATGACGTGTGTGAAGGAAGAGATCTTTGGGCCTGTCATGGCCATCCTGCCCTTTGACACGGAGGAGGAGGTTCTGGAGAGAGCCAATGCCACTAAATTTGGCCTGGCAGGTGGTGTCTTCACCAGGTATGATGGGCAGTGTTGTGGAATCATTCTGGGGACTGAAATACTGCAGTGATTTGCTGCTCCTCTTGCAGTGCCTGGGCATGGGTATCCTCTTTCAGAAAAGCTGAGGCAAGGGATTGCCAAAAGGGAAATCTGTAAATGACTGCACATCTCCCATTTTTCCTCCAAGTGTTGGGTGGCCCAGCTGTCCCTTGGGTTCCTCCCAGCCTGGCTTGGCCTGCTGCCTGCCTTCCTGCCCCTCCAGGATGCACCAGGAGCTTGCTGTGCTGCTGTTGGCTGCTTGCCCCACTCTGTATTGCTGTATTGTCCTGCCCTCTGGAACTGAATGCACTTGGAGCATCCTTGGGAATTGGTGCTGCCTCCTTTGAGCAGGCAAAGGCAGAGTAGGGCTGGTTGGACTCCAAAAAGCCCTGCTGGCCTTTCTCCAGTGGGTGTTGCCTGGCAGGGAAGGAGGGGGTCTAGCTGAATTGCCCTTTTCCTGCAGGGATATCCAGAAGGCTCACAGGGTAGTGGCTGCTCTCAAGGCTGGGATGTGCTTCATCAACAACTACAACGTCAGCCCAGTGGAGCTGCCTTTTGGGGGATACAAGTCCTCAGGTGAGCTCTGTGTGACCTCCCCTTGTACCTGCCAGCTCCAGGGGCTGCAAGTGGCCACTGGCACTGCCTGGAGCTGTGTCCTCACTGCAGTTCTTCCCTGCAGGATTTGGCAGGGAGAACGGCCGGGCAGCCATCGAGTACTACTCACAGCTGAAGACTGTCTGTGTGGAGATGGGGGATGTGGAGTCCGTGTTTTAGTGCCTCTGGGGCCTGCTCAGGGCAGCATCAGGCAGCTCTTTGCTGCCAGCCAGAGGTGTGGATCATGTACACAGCAATAAAGTTCCCTACAGTTGTCAGTGCCTGGGGGGAAGCTGAGCTGGAGCAGCGTTCAGCCACCCTGCTCCTGCAAGGGGGGTTGGACACACAGGGCTCAGCTCTGGTGGACAGGGGGAGGCTCAGAGCAGGAGGCACCAATCTGGCTTTTGGCAGCAGCTCCTGCAGGCTCAGAGGTGTTACCAGAGGCTTCCAGGCTGAGTGCCTTCATTCCCATTGCCTTCCACCCTCCATCAGCTTCACTTCTGGCTTAGGACCCTACTCGATGCAGCTATGAGCTCTTGGACACAATTATACCCTGTAACTATCCTGACTGACCCTGTCTGTTCTGTAACCACGTAAAAGCCTTAAATGCATCATTGTTTATTCCCTCTAGACCCTTGGTAACATCAACTTTTGTTTTTTTCTATCTGTACCTTACAAGTGGGACAAAACATTGTGGGGAAGGTTGGCTGATGCTGCCTGGGCCAGGCATGGCCCTGAGAATCACCTCCACACAAGAGTGGTGGTGAGCTCCAGCACAGAATAGTGAAAGCTATCTCACTTCCTTCCTGTAAACTTACTGTTCTTTATACACATGATGAAGCAACAATTTCAATTGTTTTCTTATGTCTTTTTTTAGCAATCAAATAAATACTTACTCTGGAACAAATTCTCAGTGTGACATTAATTGAGGGATCCAGAAATGGGGTTGTTGCTGTATGAGTTAAATGAGCTGCAAGGTGGCTTTTTGATCACTAAAATCATAAAAGCTAGAGGGAGCATCTCTGCCTGACAGACAGATTTCTGTAGTCCTACAAAACCAGAGTAGTTCTAGCATTCTGCAGAGCTTCTTAAGAAAACCCTCTGTAACTTTAGAATGAAAATACAGAATGGACAACTTCCTTTTATTGAGAAAGAAAAGGAAAAAAAACCGCAGGAAGCCAAGTGTTGTAAAAGAAAACAGAAGAAAAGTCCCTTTAGCCTCTGCAGATGAGCTGGCAGCCCAGCTGCTCGTAGGCTGCATAGACAGCTGTGCCCACCAGCCCAAGGAGTGCCACGGAAGCAAAGGCCCCTCTCCTTCGGTTTTTGGGTTCTGGAAAAAAAATCAGAATTTGTCAGTTCACTGAAAGACTAGCCCAGCCTGGAGACTGAAGAGGGAGCAGGAACTAAAGGGAAATCCCCAGGGCAAAACAGCTCAGGCCTCTTAGGGTAGGCATTGCTGCTGGAGGAGAGCTCTTCCCAAGAGCAGGAAGAGCATGCTGCAGTGTTGGCAGCCTGTAGATCTGCACCCTTTCCTCCACACCTGGCTGGGGGCAAACTCCTGAGGTCACTGTAGGAGACCTGAGTGTCAACAGTGTGTGCTGCAGGGCACAGTCCTACCTCCCGTGTAGTAGCCATAGGCATAGATGAGCCTCCCAAGGATCCAGGTCATGCCAAGCCCTGTGGCCACTCTCTGCAGAGAAAGGAGAAGCATTAAAAGGCTTTGGAGGCTTGAGCAAAGTTGTGCAGGCAACCAGGTGCTCAATCTCATGTCACCCCTGGCCACTTTAGTGAGCCAGAGCAAGGAGCAGGATGGTGGAGGCAGCTGCTGCTCCAAGCCCTGCTCCACTGCCTCCAGCAGGTGTTCCAAACTTCCACCTTGGCTCTTCATTGAGAGCTCACTCCAGTGTGGCTCCCATTTGCCAGATGTGCCTACGCTGCTTCCTTCCCTCTTGGAAAAGGAGTCTGTCTTCAGGAAAGATCTAATTTGTCTTTTGATGGCAAAGACAGAGCTCCTGGATTTGGCCTCTCCCATGTGCCTGTCTCCTCCCAAGATGTCTGCATCTCTCAGTTAAAAATAACCCAGGCTTTTGTTGACTTCTTTTGGCAGGGCTTGGAAAAACTGGGCTGAAGGGATTCTTCCCACTCAGTGACTGGAGGCTGCAAATGCTTTGCTTTGTCTAACAAGGCACCTTTAGGGGAAGGGCTCTAACAGCTCAAACAGCAGTAATGAGTTTATTACTTGTGATTCTCCTGCAGAAGGCCTTCTACAAGTAAATTTTAAGAAGGGGCACTGCTGTTAAGTGTGATGTGGCTACTGAAGGGGCTGTCCTGGCCTCCTGCCCCCCACCTTGCCCAGGTCAGGGAGCCAGAGCAGAGTCCTGCATCACTTACCGGGTGGTAGACTCCACCAGTGCCTAAAAAGAACAGGAAGGCAGGGTAACTTTCCAATCTGAAAATAAAAGTGAGGAGGTTGTGTTTGTGCTCAGGTTGCTTACAAAGACAAAACTCCAGAAGGGCAGAAACTGCAAACATTCCCTGCCAAGGGCATTTCGGGCTCATCACGAGTCTCTGTGCTCAGTGCTGTGGCTGAGGAAAGAAGAGATCTGAGCACACACAGTTTTAGGGGCTCCTCCCAGCCTGTGCCTCTCTCCCAGGACACCCACCCACCCTTTCCATTTTGTTCTCTGAGCCACTCTGAACATTCCCCAGGAGTTGTGCTTCCCAGCACCCCTCTGATGTGCTGCTGCAACCTGTCCATAGGAGCTGGGTGGACTTGGGCCTCTCCCCAGGGAGACCTGGGCAGCACAACAAATCAGAACCTTCTGGAAACAAAATTCCTCACATCTTAACATCTACCCATGGAAGCAAACTGGTGGGAACTGGGGAAGAGGAGACAGCTTCATGGCACCATCCCACGGTTTAATGCATGGAAAGGAGCCAGCACAGCCTTCCTGCTAAGCTCTGCAGGCTGAGCCTGGACCAAAGCAGAGGCAGCAGCACCTCTGGGGCTCTGGGCCCTACCCCCAGCCCTGTGTGTTCCCAGGCCCCTGTTGAAAGGTGTCACTCACGTGTTCTGGTGCGCACGCTGGATGCAGTTGAACATCTGCCCGTTTTCAGGGTCCGTGCTGTACATGGTTGGGTACTGCCAAACAATAAACCAGCACCAAAGCATCAGCAAGGGAGGCCTGCAGCTCCTCTCCCCAGGAGCCCAGAGCTGCCTGGGTGCTTGCAACACCAGCCTGCAATGGCAGCTCAGAGCCTGTGCCTGCCCTGGGGCCCACAAAAGCTCTGTTCAAGGTCACTGCCTTCCTGGAGCTGCTGCCTGCCTGCAGAGGCTTCCCCAGGCCTCAAATCCAGCCCTCTGTGCATCACTGCCTGCCTGCAGAGGCTTCCCCAGGCCTCAAATGCAGCCCTCTGTGCACCACACACACTGGCTCCACTTGCTCCAATCCTGACTTGATGCAGCAGGAATGGGATCAGCCCAACAGGCAGCTGGAGCTGCCCTCGTGCTCACCCCTGCTCGTCACTTCCATGAGTGAGGTGGTGAAAGAGCAAAGGAGCAGTGGTTTGTGCTGAAGCCAAGTGGCACAGCAGCCACTGCATGCCATGGCCCTGACTCACAGCTGTCCCCACCCAGCCCACAGCTCTGCCTGCCACAATGGCTCCCCAACAGATGCTGAGGGAAGGTCACTTGAAAGATTTGTGACAGCGCTCACATGCTCCCCCCAGGTTTGAGAAACCTTCCTGTCACTTTTGTGCCACTACAACCCCTTTCCCCCCCAGTGCTGCATCAAGTCTTATTTGCAGGGAAAAAGGGCTGAGCAGTTTCTTGCCCATCAGTGCTGCCAAGCTCTTTCAGCTTGATGCCCCAAATCCCAAGCTGTGCTATGCTTTCTGGAGAGCCCTGAGCAGCTCCATCCCTTCTACACCTGTGTGGTGGGGCAGGAGCTGTCAGCAAGTCACCCCAAACTGATCGAGGTGGCAGCAAGCTTGCCATGCCTGACACTCACCTCCACACGGTACCTCTTGCGGGCATTGCTCACGTTGATGGCGAGGTGTGTGACCATGACAAAGCTGGCAGCCCCAGTCAGAATGACATACCCATACTCCTTGGAGAGAACAGCCATCGTGGTGCTGCCAGAGAAAGGGAGCCTGTGAATGCTTGGGGAAGTGGCACCACATGAAATACGTGCATGGAAGAGTTGCTGGGCTTGGACTCCAAGGGCTACCAGCGCAGGGAACTGGCTGAAGGAATTTATACCTTTTGTACCTTTCTGTACCTGCACGAATCAGGAATTGTCTGCATAGTTCCTGTCAAGCAAGGCTTAAAATCACCTAAGCATTGGTGGGAAATGGTGTCTGGAGAACCTTAGTGCAGCCTGGGCAGAAACTCATAGGCCTTTGCAGCCCCAGAGCTAGGGCCACCACATGAAGTCAGTTTATTTCCAACCTATTCCCTAAAGAGAGATGTTTCTTCATGCACTGGGAACCACACTTGTGGAACTCCTTGCCAAGGGACATTGTGAGTGCAGGCACTTCGCACAAATTCAACAGGAAACTGGGCGAGTTCTGGGAGTAAAAGGTAAGTTGGGAGTTAGAACAGAACCTGGCTCAGAAATCCCCTGAGCTGGAAGGAGCTGGGCTACATCAATGATTAATTATATTTATATTATATTTATATGAGGTCATCCTCATATAAAATACTAATAAAACCCAGCACTTCAGCAATGATAACTGAACCCATTTGGGTAGAGCCACTGGCCAGATGACTGATGCTCAGCCCTGCAGCTCCCAGGAAGCCTCTCAGAGTCACAAACTGGTGAACAGCTCCAACAACACACAGCTACTGGCATTTACAGACATCTGCCCCAGCAGCCAGGGGACACCAGGGCCTGTGTGGCTTTTGTTTAATGGTTTTGTGCTCCCTCATGCAGGCCTGAGACAGAAGCATGGGGCAGAAGGTGCACCCTGCAGCCTCTGCCATGCTGCCCTACATTCCACATTTTCACTCTTTCCTGCTCAGCAGCCCCCACAAGCCTGCTCTGCTCCACACAGAGCACTCCAGCTCCCTCCCTGCTGCCAGAGAGCACAAGGGCCTTTCCCCACAACCATCTTGCACAACCCCAAACCTCAGATGCCTGTCTGGGTGAGCCTGGAGGGTGCTGCATGACACAGCCCAGCAAAAGACAGCAGAGACCTCCCTACAGCACGGAGATAATTCTCCCAACCAAACCCCAGTTGGTGCCTGTCTCCAGATGGTGCCTCCACGATGTAGTGAGGTTTTGGTGCCTCCCTGCACTGACCCACCAGCACAATCTGTCAGTGTGGGGAAAAACAGGCCACCTCAGGGAACTGCTGCAAAGTCTTCCTCTTGCACCCCCCACAAGGGATTTTTGGGGACTAGAGGGTTTTATTTCTCATTTGCAAAGGATTATCATCGATGGAGCAAGGTGAAGACAAGAGCTGGCTCTGTCCACAGGAAGTGAGGTAAACAATTATCAGTAAGAATATTAAAACCCTGAAGTAATGAAGAAAAGCCAGCTGCATGCACCTGTAATTGAGGTTAGCACCTGACAGGTGATACACTGAAAATAGAACACGTAGAGCAGGTTGGTGGTCACATTTTCCCCTTCAAATTACAGGGTTGTTGGAGAACCGGGCATTTTGCCTTCCAGCACGAAGTTATAATCCGGGAGTTTATCTTGGGAGCAAAGAGCACGGCAAAGCATTAAACCGGGTGTGTCATAAAACTCCTACTTTTACACGACTGATATCGGAGCGTGCCTCAAGCCTTTGCTCTCGTAATTTAGTGCCATATAAATCACTTCAAAGTCACCAGGACTCCCACGGTCCTTTCCGGATTGTGGTGCCCGGAGCGTTTCAGCAACTTTTGCCCGCAGCCGCAAGGCCTTTGCTGTCACGGTGCACAAAACTCAATTTCTCCCTTTTTACCCTGCTATGCCACAGACACGAGATTTTGGAGCATGACAGGGCACAGAGCGGCGGGGGAAAAAGGGTCCTTCCCAACTCTGCCACAACACTGCAGCTGCTGTGAGTCAGCAAAGCGCCTTAAGGCTCCTCGAACAGCCCCACGCGTGGATTCGGACTGGATTAGCCGGCGTAAGCTCAGCCCTTCGAGCCGGCAGAGCGACAAAAGGGGGCCGGGCCGAGCCCTGCTTGGCCTGCTCGTCCCGCTGCCCCCTTCTCCCGCAGCCTCCCCCGGCTGGGAGGCGTCCAGGGCGTTTTCCCCGAGGATAAGCTGCCCCTAGGCGCACCCCCTGCCCCCCGGCCCGCACTCACCCTCGGCGCGGCGCGGAGCAGCGGCGGGACGGAGCCGGGATGCGGAGGGAGCCGGGGCGGGGGCGGTGCCGGGCCCGTCCCCTCAGCAGCAGCGCCCGCAGGCGGGGCCCGCGCTCGGCCCGGCGCGCTCGGCCTCGTGCTGCGAGGGCTGAGGGGGTGGGGATCGCTGAGGGGTTCGCTGTGTCCTCAGCCTGTCCCCCGTACCCTTCCTGCCATTTTACCCATGCGCCGTTTACAGTTTAATGGCTCTGAGCTTGGTAATTCACACCGTGCTTGCTGAAATCTCCTGGTTTCCCCTGTTAGCTCAGCAGAAGACCCTGCAGTGTGTTTCACACGTGGAGTTGCTGTGCTGGGTCATCGTGAAAAATGCGTATTTTACGATTGGTTTTTCGCAAATATTAAAATGAATATTATATGTGTTCTGTTAGAAAGTTATGCTGTATTAATTTGCTTAAGTAGTGTGTCAAATATAGTTTTAGGTTATAACAAAATCTTAAAATAGAAACTATGCTATGTAAGATATTTTTTAAAGAAAGGATTCACAGCGAGATAGCAGCCACAGGACACCTGAATCTTTCAGAGAAAGAGAATTTACTGCTCCCTTATCAGAAGAAACAAACTTCTTCCTGCCTCGATCAGTCATGAAGACACCATCAGGATTGAGAGGAAGAAGCTGACACTGACCAGACAGAATCCTGTGTTTGAATGGAATTTATACATCATGTATGAGGTGTATGAATATGCAACAGGCTGTTGCTTTTAAGGGTTAATCCTCTGCTAACGTGGGTCCTTTTTCGGGCTTATTTTGCCCAGAAAGAGGTACCCGGACTGTCTGTAACTCTTTGTTTCTATTGTCTCATATTGTCCTAATCCAAATTGTCAAAATTATTATTACTCTAATTATATAGCTATTTTTATAACAATTTTATTACCATTAAACGTTTAAAATTTTAAAACCAAGTGATTGACATTTTTCACAGTCATGTAAGCAGATACTTCCCTTGGCAATTCCCAGCGCTGGTGGTAACGAGGATCTTACATCTCCCTGTGGATGTAACTCTGACACTTTGGTATGGACACACAGCCCATTTCCAAGAATATTTGGAGAGCGTGTAAGCAATATTTTTACTTTATAAAACATTCCAGTTTGAGGATTGTGTGACACAAAAACAGAGCTGGACTTTCCATTTCATACAATGGTGGAGGCACAGGCGGTCTGGCTGCACTGCAGGAGCACAGAGGGTTCTTTTGCTGTCTCCAGTGTAATGGGAAAGAAAGGAAGAACCAGTGGGATCCTGGGCTCCTAAAAGTCCTGGTTTTAATCTCTTTGCCTTTCCAAAGCAGGAAGTTCTTGGACTCCCTGGGGCTCCAGCTGTGTAGGCTGATCCCTGTAAGCCCTGCTGGGTTTTTTGGCCAGGAAGGGCCTGGTGACCTCCTTGGCTACAGCACAGTGCCAGGACCTCTCCCATATTTCAGTACCTTTTCAAGCCAGTCCTTATGTCCCTACTGTTCTGTGGTCCCAAGGTAGGTTGGAGGTGGAAATGCCTGGCACTGTGCACACCTCTCACACCTCCCCAAAATGAATATTTTGCCAATATCCTGAGTCCCAGTGGTAGAAGACTGGGTAAAGAACAGCAAGTGAAACTGGAGCACAGCAAGTGAAACTGGAGCACAGATACTTCCTTCTCTTGCAGTTTTATTTCACTTACCAAAAAAAAAAAAAAAAAAACCAAAAAATAAAACCAACCCCAAAAACCGCCACCAACAAAAAAAATCCAGGGTGGGACAACATGGGAAATCAGGCAGGAAGGTCCTGCCTTTAGTTCCCACAGTGGGAGCTCAGAAGGGCTGATTCTAAGTGGCTGTGTCTTCCTCTTCCTCCTCCTCCTCTTCCTCCCCCTTTGAGGCATGGGCCTCGTAGATGACAGCACAGACACCGGCCAGCCAGGCTGCCATGGTGCCAGCAAGGAATATGCAGAAGCCAACGAGGCCCAGAAAGACATAATCCTGCTTGTGCAGCTGGGTCAGGCAGCTGAAGTGGAGCTGTGCCTCTGCTGCTGGCATCCTCAGGGCACGCAGCCCTGCTGGGGTGTAGCAGGTGATGTTGTCAGCATCTGCAGAGACATGAGCAGAAGCAGGACTCTCTAGCCTGTATCATCATTTAATGAATAGGAATGCTGGTAGAAAAATTATGGGAGGCTTGCTAAAGGCCTGAAAAATAGCTGCAGACTTCATGCCCTCCCCCCCCATGGCTTGGGTAAAATCTGACAGCCAAACTCATACCAAACCCGTGCTAAACCCTTGCCAAAGCACAATTCCCAGGTTGCCAGAATATTTTTTGCAGTGTTGGCTCCATAGGATTCTATTGCCCACTGGATTATGCCACTGTGGCAAACTGCTGTCCCTGCCCTCCTCATCTCTGCTGATTGAGCACTTTCATCTTCACATAACAGCACCTGTTTTTGCTGGTTTTTTTTTTAAATCTCAAACACCTTCTGAAGTGATACAGCCTAAATTATGCTGGAATAATGAGGCTGCTGTGGGTTTGACAAGGAGGGTGGTTTGCAGTCAGGCACAGCCTTACCTGCTCTGTGAGGCAACTCATCAATGATTCAGTTCCACTGAAATAACAGCCATACCCTGTCATATTGCAATATCTGCAGTGATAAAACAGATGCTGCCTGCTCCCTTTCAAATTAGTGAAGGATCAATGTGGTGCAGGGTGTGCCCCCAGCCATCCTCTGCAGGTTTTGAGCCCCACAGACACGGTCACTGAGGTGGGGACATCCTGGATGGACAGGATGGAAGAGCCTGAGGGAAAGGGAGCACTGCTCCATGCATGGGATGGAATGGGAGAGTGGAGGGGAATTTTTATTGCATTACACTGTATTCTATATGGCTGAGTGATGTTGTTCATGTTGATCTTGATACTGGCCCTGAGTAAAACTGAAGATCTTTTATCTCTCTGTCACCCAAATCCATCCAAACTTGGGCAGCTTTGTGTCAAAACTCTGTTGCACAGATATTTCTGAAGGTCAGGAGCCTTGCTAAAGGCCAGGCTGGGGTCTGCTTGCAGCATATTCCAGAGCTCTGTCCCAGTATCCCTTTGGCCTGGAACAACCCTCAGTTTAAGGCTGCATTTCCTACTCCTCCCCTCCCCAACAGCCTGCAATGAGCTTTATTCTCCTGTTGCAGGGTTCAGTGGGTTATCTGCAATCTCACTGCTGAGAGCTGTACTTTATTCCACTGTCCCATAATTGCCTGTATGTGGAAAAAGAAACCCTTTATTGTCTATAAGAAGCTTACTACACCTAATAAAGACCCTGAGACGTCTTTAATTCAGTTCTGTCCTAACATCAGCTTCCAGCTGCCCTTCCCTTTTTTCCCCTTGTGCTCTTTTGTAGCCTTCTCTTATTCAGTGGACAGACTTTCTCAACCAATTTCTCTCTTGCATCTCTCTCTCATCATTGTGCCCTGCACTACTGAAACCAAAGCTTTTCTTGTTCATGTGTACTGTGCTGTGTCTCTTTCCAGAATGGAAAAGCTAAGTCCATGTGCTGCAGCTGCAAAGCAAAACATCACCCTTGGGACCAGTGTTTTTATGGGAAAAGGAACTGGTGATTGCCCTGCCTCAGCCTCTCCAAGGCCCAGTTATAGAATCTCTCAATATGAAGAGCAACAGCTGACTTTGGGGTGGAGACAAGGCAGGAAATTCACAGCAATGATTTTCCCAGTGCACATCTCCCTGGAGCTGTGTGGGGCTCCTCGTTCTTGGTGCTGCAGCCATGGGGTGCTGTGCCCCCAGGAACACCTGAGGCTGGATCCAGGTGTTTTAGGGAAGCAGCAGTGTCCCAGCTGCACACCACACCTCCCTGGCTTAGGATGTGAACAAGAGGGATTTGTCATGTGTGTAACCCAGCTGCGCCATCCCTGGTTTGTGTGACAGCAGAAAATGGCATGCAGTGGCACAGCCCCGTGAACTGAACTTTTGGGAAGGAGAACAGAGGGCTCTCTCTGTTCCACACACATCTGTGCTCACACAGCCCTCACCTGGAAAATGCACATCGCTCTCTATCATCCAGGTGATGAAATCCAAAAAGGAACAGTTGCAGTGCCACAGGTTGTCACTGAGCCCCAGAAGCCTCAGGTTGGGCAGGTCCCGGACGGTGCTGGTGTCCAGGAAGGTCAAGCCTGTCCGGCTCACATCCAGGTGCCTCAGCCAGGTGTTGTTGGCAAAAGCATCTTTCTCAATGGCCACAAGGTTGGGATTGTCTGAGATCTTCAGTACCACCAGGCTGAGGAGGTGGGAGAAGGTGCTGAAAGTGACCTGGGAGAGGTTGTTGAAGCTGAGGTCCAGATAGACGAGCCTGGCCACGCCAATGAAAGTGAAATCCAGGTCATCCCCCAAGAGGTTCTTTCTGCAGTCCAGATAGACCAAATCAGCCAGGAAGCTCAGTTCCACTGGCGGCAGGTACGAGACGTTGTTTGCTGCCAGAATCAGCTGCCTGGTGTCCAGAGGGATGTCCACAGGGAACTCGTGCAGCTGCTGCCCGGTGCAGTTCACCTCCAGGTACTGACAGCTACACCTGCTCGGACAGCTGATCCCCTGGGATGCCATCCCCAGAAGGAGCACGAGGCTCAGGGACCGTGGGCTACCTGAAGGGGACATGGTTTGAGACCTTCCAGGCCGCTTAGCCCTTCATGGACTGCAAGCAGTCCTATGGCAGCTGCACTGCCCTCCCAGGCATGCCGAGGAGGTGTCCAGCTCTGTGGCTCACCTGAGCCCTTGGCAGAGTGCCCGGCTGGAAACCGAGCCTGGCTTTTACACGGGCAAGTGTGGAACAGTGGCTGGAGCGTCTCTGTCTCACACTCGGTGCCAGGTGACACCTCCGTGGTGTCAGTGGCTTGCAGAAGCTGCCTGTTTTCAGGGACACTGCTGTGACCTTGGTGGCCTGCTTCCAGCTGGGTGGAGGTGTGGGAAGCTGTGCATGGTGTGGGAGCATCAGAACTTTGTAGGGAGAGCGTGAACAGCCCAAACTTTATCAGAAATGTTGTGAAAAATGTGTCTTTTATGATTGGCTTTTTGCAAATATTAAAATGAATATTATGTTCTGAAAGTTATGTTAGAAAGTTATGCTGTATTAATTTTCTTAAGTGGTGTGTTAAATATAGTTTTACGGTATAACAAAATGTTAAAATAGAAACTATGCTATGTAAGATACTTTTTTCCTAAAGAAAGGACTCGCAGTAAGGCAGCAGCCACAGGACACTGAATCTTTCAGAGAAAGAGAATTTATTGCTCCATTATCAGAAGAAACAAACTTCTTCCTGCCTCGCTCAGTCCTGAAGACGCCATCAGCATCCAGAGGAAGAAGCTGACACTGCCCAGACAGAATCCTGTGTTTGAATGGAATTTATGCATCATGGATGAGGTGTATGAATTTGCAACAGGTTATTGTTTTTAAGGGTTAATTCTTTGTTAACGTGGGTCCTTTTTCGGGCTTATTTTGCCCAGAAAGAGATACCCGGACTGTGTGTAACTCTTTATTTCTATTGTCTCATATTGTCCTAATCCAAATTGTCAAAATTATTATTACTCTAAATATATTACTATTTTCAGAACCATTTTATTACAATTAAACTTTTAAGATTAAAAAAAAAAAAATTGGCGTTTTTCACAGTGTCACACTGCAAGGGGTGGGACTGGTTAGGCAAGAGTCCTGTGCAATGCTGGGCTGGCATTGTCTCCTTCCAGGAGCCAGGAGGTTTTATCCCATGTGGAGTAGCGGGTCCAGGTCTGGGGATCTCAGCACAAGATGTGGAGATGTTGGAGCGGGTCCGGAGGGGCCATGAAGATGCTCAGAGGGCTGGAGCAACTCTGATGTGGGGACAGGCTAAGCTGGGGCTGCGCAGCCTGGAGAGGATTATGGGGACCTTACCTAAAGGGTTTTTGGAAAGGAGGAAGAGTGATTCATTACATGGGCAGGTAATGAAAGAACAAGGGGGAATGAAAGAGGTCAGGTTTGGAGTGGATATTAGGGAGAAATTCTCCCCTGGGAAGGTGATGAGGCATAGGGTGCCCAGAGACGCTGTGGCTGCCCCATCCCTGGAAGTGCCCAAGGCCAGGTTGGACAGGGCTTGGAGCAACCTGGGATAGTGGAAAGTGTCCCTGCTCATATCAGACGGAAAACTAGTTGAACTTTAACGCTCCTTCCAGGGATTTTATGACTCCTCTAGAAGCGCTGCCAGCCCCGCCTGACGGCTCCGAAGGGACGCAGCCGCCTCACCCCGCCCTTCCCCTCACGGCCAACGGCCGCACCGGGGCGGGGCCTGACAAACCACGCCCACCACGACATCGCGGCCGTTGATAGGCCAAGAGAGGGCGGGAACGCGCTGAGCCCCGCCTCCCAGTGACGGTGCGATCTCTGATAGGTCAGCGAGGAGGCGGGGGTGGGGCGCGGAGGATTCAAGCAGCGGGCGCGCAGCAGTGCCGCCGCCGCGTCTCTGCCGCTGTATCCCCACCGCCGCCATGGAGACCATGACCTTCCCCCGCTACAGCCCCGACGACATCATCAGCTACCTCCGCTCGCACATCCTGGAGGGCGCCGAGGCTCGCAACCTGGTCAAGGGCGACGTGTTCGGCAACCCCAGGGTGCGTGCGGGGGTCGCGGGGCGGCTCCGGGCCACGCCGGCTCCTGTATGGGACGGACGCGCTGGGCCCGCCCGAGTGACCGCGGGGTTGGGTGGAACGGGCTGGGGGTGGGCTCGGAGTGGTCTCGGGGCTCTCCTCAGGCCTCGCCGGGAAGCGCCGTGGTGTCAACTTTGTGAACTTCGGGGAATTCCGGCGTGAGGTCTACTTGGAACTACAACAGAGCTATGTAAGATTAGGTGCTGTTTTATTCCAGATGCCTGTAAAAGTATAAGTGATATTAATCTAGAACTCGGAGCATGAAGGTTGTGCTTTAACTTCAGGTTTAAGCAGCACATGGCCTGTCTTCCCCGGTTCCGTGGGAACTGGGTCAAAATAGTTCCAACACCTTGCCGGATCCATTAGTGCTTTTAAACCCCTCCCTGCTTCACCCCCTTTCATTCGCTCTGAGCATTTAGTGTTAGTGAGTGAAGAAAAGTGGCTTTAAAGCGGAGTTGGTGCCTCTGAGTGATTCCTGGTGCTGCTGTTGCTTGTTTTTGAGCCTGCGGTGAGGGGGGTCTGGCCCTGCTGGTTTAGATGGTTTTTAAGAAGCAAAATTGATCATAGATAAGTGCTATAAATGAAAAATCGTATGGCTTGTAAGTGATTTTTTTTCATCTTAATTTTAATAATCTAATGAAGGGCACTTGTTGCTTCAGGGTTGTCATTTCTGTGACCTTTTTTAGGTTATTTGGCATTGTTTGGTTTGGAAACTGTTCAGCAAGCAGCAGTGTAATGAAAACCAATGCCAGACACACACAGTCAGGGCTGTAATTGCCCAAGCTGACTGCTGCCCCTTGAAACTGAATTATCAACAAATAATGCTTGAACTGAAAAAATGTTGGAAGTGAAACTTGGTTGTCGTGAATTCAGCCTTCATGTGTTAAAAGCTGAATGCTTTCATGGCCTGGCCTGGGAGCCTTGAGTAAACAAACATATGGAATCCTGATTGATTCATGTCCTCTCTTCCTGCAGCTTGAAGTTTTACACCTGATTTACCTGAGAATCCTGCAGAAAGTGTGTGGGATCCGACTGGAGCATGCCTACATGGTAGGGCTGCCTGTGGCAGGGGTGGTGGGATGTGAAAGGACAAAAATACTGGCCTTACCTGTTCTTTGGGATGCTCAGGGTGCCAGAAATGTTTGTAAGGTCCAGGAGGGAGTGGGCAAGCTTTTGGAGGGACACCATCCCTTAAAAATCTATACTGGGCTCCTGCTAGAGGAGGCTGGACTGGTCTGGAAAGAATGTAAATGTTTTTTGTATTTGATCATCTCCACTCCTCCTATAATTGAGAGAAAAGTGAGGAGAGGCTGATACCTAAATTAACTTACAGTTAATTTACTTACTGTCTCTGGTAGTCAAGAACTGATCCTCAAAAGTGAGAATAAATGGTTTTGTCTCATGGCTTTTCTGGATAAACTGAAAGGGAAGAGTATTATGTGCACAAGGTAGCTCTGTTCTTCCCAGGCAGTGCCAGCAGCTGCCATGCTGTGCTGTGAGGTTTAAAATGTCAGAGAAAGGGGACAGTGTGCCACTACATTCTCCTCCTGACTTCTCCATGAAGCAGCTGAGTGTGTCAATTTTGGGGTGTTTAAAGAAGGAGCTGCTTGCTGGTAGCTGTATAATGTTGTGCTGCACAAGTTATGAACAAAATGAAACAGAGTTTAGATTCAATTCCAGAGTTTGTAATGTTGCTGCTTTACTTATTATTGTATTTTTATGCTTTTCCAGCCAAAGTTGACCCTTAAAATAGTGTGCTATTTACTTTGTTGACATTTTTCAGCCTTTAATATGCTTTCCCTGTGGATGGGAAGATCATCATCAGTGTTTTTAATTATTTTATGCTGTGGAAAATGCTGCATAATTTTTGTTTTAAGTATTCTCTACTTATGCACTGACTCTCTTTTTACTCTTTTTACTCTTTAGATGCCACTCAACGTTGACATAATGTACCCACAGATCCATGAAGGCTTTCTACCTGTCTGCAATTTGTATATTCACATGTAAGTTGAAGATGCTTGCCTTGTGCTTGCTGGGCAGATGCTCTGGGACGAGAGGACAAGATCTATTTTGCAGCAGATGGGAACAGGACAAGAACAGAGCCATGGTCACAGAAGCTGAGTCACAGTCTCTCAGCTGAGGTTGTGTTTTGTTCTCCTTGCAGGGAGCGCTTGCTGCCCATGTGCCGGATCAGTGACTTCCAGATTGCTGATGTTTTAAACCCAAGTAAGCAAGTGCCTTGTAATCCTTGTGTTTCCTGGGTGCTGCTTGCTATTCCAGGTGCTTTTTCTCCTTGGGCATAGCTAAATGGGTGTCTAGTGTGGAGAAATGTCCCTCTGGCTGCTCTTCTGACCCTTAAACAAGCTGCTTCTAGTGGACAGCTCTTGTTCCTGATGTGGGCTGGTGCAGGTCAGTAACTGAGGGCAGCTTTGAATGCTGTGAATCTGTTGAACTGCTGGTCTGGAGATGGGCTCTGACATACTTATACAGTGTAATAATAGATGGGGATGAAAATTACCCTGACAGCTCTGGAATGCTTTAGGATTTCTTATGCCTGTGCTCCACTCCTTTCAATACCCAATTGTGATTCTGCCACAACACAGACAACTTGGAAAATGCTGCTCTGAAGAAATCTTTCACTTCTGGATCCGTCTTGTCTAAGACATTCAAAGCTTTTGTAATCATCTTTCAGAAAGTTTGCTTGGAATAAAGACAGAAAGTCCCTGCAGTTCAAATTGCTGCCTTCAGTTTGGCTGATAGCTGCAGAGAGGCTCTCTCTTCAGAGCTGTAGCTCAAGATTGACACTCTTTCTCCCTGGCTTCTGTTGGAATGGGAGGCTGTGTGTTAACAGCCTTTTCTCCCAGGTGCCACTATTCATTTGTTAAATTACACAGAATTGCTAAGTGTTGGTAACCAGCTGGGTGCTGGTTTTTGTGTAGTCTGAAATCTTTGCAAGCTGAGCGGGGGAAGAATTAATTTGGACTATGTTTTGTAATTTCTGTCTCCTTGAATTACACTTGGCCCAACTTTTTGGAAGCAGTTGCAATGCTTTTGGAAACCAGCTCAGTGAGCTCTTGCAATTCCTCTTTCAGAGACCAAGAGGACAGTTCGCTTCTTGAGTGGCATCCTCAACTTTGTGAACTTCAGGGAATTCCGGCGT